CCCCAGACTGGAAAAAATAAAACCAGGAAGCAGATCATTAGATGAACAGCAGATTTCTTTCAGTTACTTTTATACCACTAGGATACTGGCCGCCTATATAGACAGACATACTTGTGTGTGCACTCACGCAAACACACAAGATATCCCTTACAATTTTCTGCATAACAATTTTACTGTTATTGCATTGATTGCAGTTTATTTTATTTCCCCCTCTAGTTTTACTGCAAGAACTAGGTCATCCTCAATCTCACTCACCCTGCTTTTTCTCCCTTTTTCACTCTCACTCGCACACACACATTAGCCTCAAGCTAAAAACAAAATACACCTGGTGAGAGAGAGACACGCATGTGGTGAAGAGAGACAAAACAGGGAGAGAAAGGGAAGAAAAAATGAGGGAAGGGGGATGAGGGCTGCAGGGCAACTGAGGATGGAGAGAGGAGAGAGATACATAAGTCTCTAAGTGCATGTGTGTGTCTCTAACACACACACACACACACACACTAGAGACATGCTTCATAAAACCATACACACACACGATTCTTGTTCTTCTCACACACATTAGCCTGAAGCTCAACACAACTACACCTGGCAAGAGACGGAGAGAGGCGCAGAGAGAGCGATAGATGTGAACTTGCCCATGAATTGAGGTCATGCAGAGAGACAAAGGTAAAGACAATAGGAGGTAGGATGAGTTAAGAAGCACTGATGTTGTAAGCCGGGTAGGAAACAGCTTCACAGCATGTAGAGGACAGGAAAGGTAAGGAAGGTAAATGCAGTAAAGGCTGTTCAAGGGAAGGATTTGTAACAAAGCTTTAACCAGCTACAAAAGAGGAAAGCTACCACTGTGCAGCTATTTCAGTTGAAGAAATGCCTCAAAAGGCAAAGTAAGTCATGATCATGATAATGTAGTGTATGATGATGATAATGAGAAAGTGGAACACAGTTGTCATCACTGCTCCAATTGCAGAGCTTTCTATTGTTGCCCCTAGCAAGTATAAAGATGTTTGAAAAACTACAACCATCAGGTTAAGCTCTCTGTATTTGCAGCACAGTGTGCCTTTGCCATTAAGGAGGATGCAGCAATAGAAGAAAAGCTTAAAGCCTATAAGGCTTCTGGACAGCTGCTTCCCTTCAAAATGAAGTGATGTAGCATGATATTGTTAGTAGAGACAGCGTTGTGTTCAGGGTTTGAAAGAGTTAAGTGATTTCATATTTGTACCGTTTACAGACATGTTTCTTTGTGTATAAATATCTTTTGTGTTATTTTGAGAGATACCAGATATTTTATTTATTTGTTGAAGTATGACAAGGATCTCATTTATTTTTTCATTATTTGGCACTTTAATAACTGTTCTTGACTGTAATGAGCCATGTTTGATTTTATGTATTTTTTTATATTGTAATTGTATTGTTAAGTTTTCAGTACAACTGAAATTGAATATAAAAAATATGTTCTGTATTTTTGTGTCATGTCTTGATTTTGACTGTTTCAGATCTGCATTTCCACAGCTCAAAAGAGCTTGAGGCACTTTGGGGTTTTCTTACATATTAGTTAATGCTTAATAAACCATAAACAGTATTCACTTTAGAAGGGATCACAAAAAACAGTAACTAACAATTAACAACTCCCTGACATATTCATGCATTGCAGTATTAATAAATCATCTATTCATGTTTTATTAAGTATGAATAAACAGCAAATAATGACCTTATGCATGACCTTAGTCACCCGGAGTAAATCTTTAGTGAATGTGTTAAGTATGAATCATGCTTAATTAATGCTTTTCTCATCATTAATTAAGTACTTATTTAACTAAAGTTATAAAGTTAACTAAGGATGAATAAGGTGTAGTTATTATAAAGTGTTACCGACTTTTCTTTACTGCGCCTTCAGGATGTTTTTTCTGTTTCAACCTATAAAAGCACAAATAAGTTATAACCACAGATGGGTAATAAATAAAAATGATAATAATTCTGAATAAATGAGTGGAAAAGTTTTAAACACTGCAGGGATTGCTGACTTGTCATGTTTTGTCCAGCCAACAAATCCAAAGACAGTCAATTTATCATCATGTACAACAAAGAAAAGCACCAATTCCTTGCATTCAAGAAGGTGGGAACAGAGAATGTTGATGATTTGTGCTTCAGAAAATTTGTTGGTTAATCTTCCATCGGTGAAGTGACTAATAGTTGCACCTCTAGGTAACTGAATGGCTTAATGAAGATGGAAGTGCCTTCCTCCCTCCAGCAGAGGAGCAGTGAAGCTGTTCTGCAGACATTTTACTATAACATCCAATCAGAAAAAGTTGTGATGGTATGTAAAATCAAGATTAAAACTGAAGAGTGATTTGTAAATCATCTGTGTCCTGTATTACATTGAAAACAATACAGCAGCACATTATTTATTGTGATATCTTCATCAATTTTTTTCTTTGTTCCAAATAAGCACTCACTTTAATTTTGATGCCTGCAACACATTCTAAAAAAGTTGGAATGGTTGTATTTCAGGGTCAGTAATGAGGTAAAACAATGAAATGATGATTCCATTTGAAACAGGTGATGTCAGCAGGTGACTGCATCATGACTTGGTACAAAAGTGGCATCCAGGAAAGGCTGAGCCCTTTAGGAGAAAAGATGGGCCGAGGACCGTCAGTTTGCCAACATATGTCTGAGAAAATTATTGAAATGTTTAAAAACAATGTTCCCCAAAGAAAGAGAGGAAGGGATTTGGATGCGTCACCATCTACGGTGCAGAACATGATTAAAACAGTCAAGGAATTTGGAGGGATGTCAGTTTGTAAAGGACGAGGACCGAGCCTGAGCTGTTTGACTGTGTTCTCTGATCCTCAGACAACACTGCATCAAGAACCCTTCCTCTTCTATAAGCAATATAACCACATGGGCTCAGGATGACTTTGGCACACCTGTGTCAGCCACTACAATACGCAGTTACATCCATAAATGCTGCTTAAAACTGTACTTGGCCAAAAGGAAGTTCTATGTCAACAGTGTCCAGAGGTCGACTGCTCTGGGCTCAGAGGCATCTGGGATGGACCATCACACAGTGGAAACGTGTACTGTGGTCAGACCAGTCAGTGTTTCAGGTCTTTCTTGAAAGGAATGGACACCATGTGCTCCGGACCAAAGATGAAAAGGACCATCCAGAGTCTGTCATGGTCTGGGGTTGTATCAGTGCCCTTGGCAAAGGTCACTTACACTTCTGTGATGGCACCATAAAAAATAAAAAAACAGACTTTGGAGCACCATGCGCTGCCTTCAAGGCGACATCATTTCTAGGGACGTCCATGCATATTTCAACAACACAGTGAAAAATCTCATAGTGCACACATTACCAAGGCTGTGGAGGAAAAGGGTGCGAGTGCTGGACTGGCCTGTGTGCAGTCCCGACTTGTCCCCAGTAGAGAATGTGTGGAGCACTTTGAAACGCAAATTCCGTCAACAAAGCCCCAGGACTGTTGCGCACCTTAAAACTTGTTTGCAGGAGGAAAAGAACAACATGACACCTGACACATTTAATCACTTGGTGTCCTCAGTCCCTAAACGTCTTTTAAGTGTTGTGAAAAGGAACAGCAGCATCACACCGTGGTAAACGCTTTACTGTCCCAGCTTTTTTTTTGGAATATATTGCATGCATCAGAACTGATCAAATAATGTGCTGCTGTACTGGTTTCGATGTAACACAGGACACAAATGATTTACAAATCATTATTTTCTGTTTTGATTTTACATACCATCCCAACTTCTGATTTGAGGTTGTAAAAAATCTGTTGTTCAATCTCTCCTTTAATTTTTCACCAGCTGTATATGTTTATATGTAATTGCTTTACTATTAGTGTTCTGAGATGGCATGCAGACTTCAGAAAGAGGCTCATGTTTCAGATGGTGTGGCAACAGCAAGACGAGCCTGATTTCTGG